GGGGGGGGGGGGGGGGGGGGGGCGTACGTTACTCTTGTGGGAGACATGCAGCCACGGCTTATGACGGTGAGCCACATCTGTGCTGTGCTGAGTTGTTTTTCATTCGTGCCATGTGTCAGTTGGACCAGCACGCATGCTTCAAGGCACAGAGCAGAGGATTCGGCTCTTAATGTGAACACACGACAAGACAACCACAACAACAACAACGCAAGAGAAGCGACGCAGGAACCGGCGTAGGGTCGGCGACAAACAACAACATTTGACAAAAATTCGGTAGGAATATTTTTGGTGGTGTCTACCATAAAAAATATTGATTCATCATGCGACGAGAACGCTGGGTCAGCTGCGCGCGGGGTTGAACCATGCCGCGCGCATCGACAGTTTTTCCGCCAATTTACAATATGCAGACACACCGGGCGGAGTGTTTCACTGCAACTCCCCGATTTACGCCTGGGCGGCACGTTTGAATCGAGCCCACATTGCCGCACGGGTCAACTTCGGTGAGCTATCTTGCAGCGTTTGTTGCTACGGTGAAATAGACCAGCGCTAAATAGTAGTGCTGAAGCAACGCAACACCAGAGAGTATTTTTTCCAGCTATTACAAAAGGTGCATCACGTCTCGGATTGTTTCCCCTGTCCCTTGAGCATGGGGATGCTAGGTGGTGTAGCGGAGTACTGCTGTAGAGGTCATGACGACGGGTGCTTAGGACCAAGGCAACAACCGGCAAGCAGCACTATCTAGACTACTTGTTCTTCGCTTTGCATTTTTAGCGACACCCCACGAGGAACGACGACAACTTGGTGGCCCAACTGCCGTGCCGTCGAGAGAGCGTTGTACTACACACCGCCAGCTCTATTGGTATTCTATGTACAATAGACACCTTCTCTGCATCTCTCTCGGCCAAGAGAGCGGACGCCCGTGGCCCAAGGGCGGACAAACACACGCCGCGAAAAAACATGCCTATTTACTGTCCCTTGCGAGATTTCTCCAACACATATTTTCAAGACTGCAAGAGTTTCCGTGGCGTGTACACACATAGTACAAAGTGTATGCAACGCTTGTCACAAGACATGACTGCGATGCCCTCTGCACGGCTGCCACGACAGTGTATCCCCCGTGGGTGTACTGCTGTACAAGAGCATTGTGATAGAAAAATATGCTGGTGAACTTCCGTGTGCAGCTAAGGCCTGTATAGTTCGGTGTTTTAAATGTAAAATTTCGGCAAGAAAAAAATTGCCGCCTGCCACCTCACACCGGTGTCGACGTGTCCAAAAAGTCCGGGAACTTTGTTGTACACGTCGACACGTCGACTCACCAACAACCAAGAAAAATAGGACATGTTCTTTCTCGCATAAGTCTCACGGCTGTTGCGTGAAGACTAGGGGGATGTGGCGTGGCCATTGCCATGTTATGTATCATATCTAGGTTACTGTTAGGCGCGTGGTTTCGCATCGTCCTATATAGTCGACACAGAACACCGAACATGAAACAAAAATGAAACAGCAAAACAGCGTGTTGTTTGTTGTGCATCTGCTTCGAGGACGCGTGAGATGCGTTGAATGAATTATGAGCAATTTCGTTCGCCAAGAGTAACAGCAACAGCAACACCAAACACGATTGCTCTCTCACCGACAGTTCGAAACCCGAGCCAACAACATTGCTGCTGTCCCCTGTAGAGCTAGCCATGGCGGCGTCCTCAAAACGGAAACCTTTTCGGGCGAACACATGGAGGAAGTTTTGACAAGAGGGCCAGATTGGCGGCTGCTGTGTCAGACCAAGTACGAGGAGTGACCTGCCCTGGAAGAAGGTAACAGCAGTGAACAATGACGTGATCTCTCCCATGAAAAATCTACCGTCCTCGCTGTGAGCGGTCTCTGAAGGCAGTTGCGGGGGCCTCTCGCCTGCTCTGCACTGCGGATTGGGTTGCCTTGGCCTTGTTAGCCGCTACCATGCTACCACCCCAACCGCAGAAGGAGCCAGGGAGAGAGAAGCTGGTACAAGTTATAAGAACCAACGCCGCGTGGGGAAGGAATAAAACCAAGGTCGGAACCTCACCCTCTTTCCCTCTCTGTCGAGCTGGCGAGGCGTGTAACCAGGATCCCTGGGGGATGGCCTCGTGCTGAGTACGGCGTGATCACGCGTGTTCGTAGCTGAGGGTGGGCGTGGAAGGTTGTCACTAAGCCTAAACGAGTCCGACTTAGCTGCTTCGCACACGGGACGGAGGTCGGATGTGACGGCCCTTGCCAACACGGACCAGCAGGTGGAGTACTTGCTGACGTACCAGGCTGTTCGAGCCTTCCCGGGCTATTGGATCCTTGATGTTGAACGGAAGTGTTACTCTTCGGAAGTTCAAAGCTTCAAATCCCGGCCTGTTTAGTAGGAATCTTTTCTTGCCACGGGGCCCCCAAAATGGTAGCCACCTCGCCGTTGCAGAGTTTTGCCTCTGGCGGAGCTCCCGCGCCGCCTCCAAGCCTTGTGTGTCGCTGGCTTGGCCGGCCACAGAGCACAACACAGACAAATTGGCCGGTGGTTAGCAGGGGCTGGTGCGAGCCGTGACAGGAGGGGGGGTTGAAAATGCGGTCGAATCTTCCTTCGGCGGCAGCAGCTTTGGCCATCACATGTGCTGCTTCGTGTAAAGCTTTCCATGTGCCGCCAAGTAGCGGTAGCAGCCTATGCATACGATCTGTCGCAGAGGCCAGCAGCAGCAGCAGCAGCAGCAGCATGCCAACAACCGAGGTCGATGGTCCCACGCAGACCAGTTATCCTGGACCTGTGATACCGAGAGTAGGTGGGGCGATGCCAGAGCAGCGGCCGGGATGGTTCAGGGTGCCTGCCCCTGGGGGCAAACATACCAAGGTCGGTATACCCATGGATACAGCAGTTGTACAGCAGTGACAGTAGTGCTGTGTTTTCCCGTTTCATTATGGAAGTTCTGGCTGTGTATTTGCTGCGTATTCTACACTACACGGTGGGTTATGTTCGTATCGCACACCTTGTCTACTTCCCCCCCGGTCTTGGTGAACGCCAACGCTCTCAGTTGCGACACTGCTACAATGCATACGCCTTGTGTGACGTCTTGTTGTATGCTGTGATCGCGACTGCTGAGCCTGATAAGATTGTGCCTGCTGCCTCTGATGTATCTGGAATGCTAATTGTAGCTCGTGTCACCAAGCGTCCCACAGTAGACAAAGCTTTTCTATGCCAACCGTACATGCCGAATCCGAAGGGTAGCGAGCAGTGGCAGGCCGATTCTGGAGCGAGCGCGATGATTTCGAACCAGATAGATCACATGTACGACATTCGCCACTTGGGCCAGGATGAACAATTTATTCAAATTGGAGACTCGGCTCTCATGAAGGTTGCAGCTGTAGGAAGCTTAGACCTTCGATTCCACCAAATCGGAGCCGACGGGAAACAGGAAGACATAGACATTACTGTGCCAGAAGTTTTGTTTGTGTCACTGTTTTTCTGAGCAAGATTTGCACAGGGTTGCTTCTCCGAGTCTGTCTGCGATGTTCGAGAATTATGAGAAGGAGACCGATTTTCATGAGCCTGATGCGATTGTGCCCGCTGTGACTGACGTGGTTGTGAGTACTGAGTCTGATGGGATAATGCATGCTGTCCATGATGTGAGGGTGCCCAACGGCCATTCCACCTTGTTTGTATGTGTCGTCCACATCGAAACACGCTCGCATGGGGCTTGTCCGTCGGTCTGCGGTTACCACATGGGATGTTGGCTTGTGTGGGATTGGAAATAGACAAGGTTGGCATCAGACAACGAAGCAGTTCGCCCTACAGGCACAGCAAGCAGTTGTAGAATTGGCAGCATAACCTTCACACAAACAAACCCTGGTGCTTTTGTTCGCCCTTCAGGTACAGCAAGCAGTTGTAGAATTGGTAGCATAACCTTCACACAAACAAACCCTGGAGCCTGCCCGCTCACCACCCACCTGCCTTCTTTCCTTTGCCTCCTAATCAGTACGAAGAGCTCAAGTCCTCGCTGAAAGAGCTCAACCTTCACACCGTGTGCGAAGAGGCCCAGTGCCCCAACATCGGGGAATGCTGGAACGGGGGCACGGGCACCATCATGCTGCTGGGGGACACTTGCACAAGGGGTTGCAAGTTTTGCGCGGTTAAGACGTCGCAGAAGCCGCCGGAGCCGGACCCGTTTGAGCCATTCCACACGGCAGAGGTGCGGTTGGGTCCATGTGTGTTGTTTTGGGGGGTTGCTCGCGCGCTCGGCCCCTTTTTCCCGTCGGTGTTTTTGTCCGCTTAGTCTAGTTTTGGTTTGTCCGGCAGATTTGTCGAGCGCACACTTTCCAGACAGAGCGAGCTGTGTCGAGGGGGTGCTCGTGGTATGGCCAGGCATCGTATTGTTCGATACATATGCAGGTGTACGTTTACCAGCTCATGCATGGCATCCTTTTGGACGGAACGTGAACCAATCAACAACAGGCCATCTCCAGATGGGGAATCAACTACGTCGTGCTGACCTCGGTAGATCGTGACGACCTTGAGGACGGCGGGGCTAACCACTTCGCTACCACGGTTGAGCTCATCAAAACCGCGAAGTCGGACATGCTGGTAGAGTGCCTGGTCAGCGACTTCAGAGGGGACTACGCGGCCGTCGATGTGAGATAGCGATGAGGACAGCACGATACCATGCGCACCGCTTGTCGCCGGAAGCCGGAAAATCATCCAATGCCATCGCGTTCCGTGAAGGGCTGTTTCAGAGAAGATTGGCCAGATGTAGATTAGACTCGTCACGTATCTGCTCCTTTTTCACATGTTTTGGCGACGTGGAAAGCCTGGCCGTCGGCTGGTACTTATACCGGCGGCGTTGTATTTTTCTTGTTTGGTAGTGCCTAGCTCCACAGCAGCTGCCGTCGTCAAGGACACGCCTCACGATTCAAGCTCACGATATTCCGTAAGGAACGAGTGCCAACATGGGAGCGCATGTATCACATCCAACTATGTTCGGAATGCTTGCACCTTGTGCGCATCTTGTTCTGGGATTCGTCCCCCCCCTTTAACCACAGAGGCTAGCGACGTCCGGCCTGGACGTGTACGCGCACAACATCGAGACGGTCAGACGGTTACAGCCCTACGTCCGCGACAAGAGGGCGGGCTATGACCAGTCTTTGTCTGTGCTCCGTAGGGCCAAGATTGCCGGGGAAGCTACGGGGGTGTACACCAAGACTTCCCTCATGCTGGGGCTTGGAGAGACGGAGGAGGAGATATTGGAGGTGGGGTGTTTCTGGTGTTGTTCAGTTGAGATGGGCTTTTCTTCACGTTCGAAGAAGCGCATTTTCCAGCATTTCCAAATTCAGTCTCCACAGGCTCTGCAGAGACGCAGGAAGAAGTAAATGCGAAGAAACCCTGTGGCATCGCCAACGATTGGATGCGATTTGCTGCCTTAACGTTTTCTAACCCCCGGAATTTCCCACAAACCTTGTCATCTCTTTGTACCCAGACCATGCGAGATCTCCGGGAAGCCGGTGTGGACGTGCTGACGCTGGGCCAATACCTGCGGCCAACGGACCACCACTTGGCGGTTGTTGACTACGTTACGCCGGAGAAGTTCGACCAGTACGCACGGCAAGGGGAAGCGCTAGGCTTTAGTTACGTTGCCAGCGGACCGATGGTGCGCTCGTCCTACAAGGCTGGCGAGTTTTTCATGGAGAACATGATTCGCCGAGGTCGACAAGAGGAAGATGCCGTGGCAGCTGCGATGGCGGTTGCCGCAGGGATGGATCCCAATGACCGCTAGCGTTTTGTAGTGGTGGAGAGGTTTTGGTTTTGGTTGCAGCATATATAGAGTGGGGAGAGTGGCGGTACGCTCAAGTCATGCCGATCGTAAGAGAGTGGGAAACGTTTACATGGTTTTGGCGAGAAGGGTGGGGCACCACGAAGAGCTGTTCGATGACACTGTGCGTTGCTCGATATCGCGACATGCTACAAAAATAGGTACAAGTTGCGTAACGAAACCTCCGCTTTGTCGCGGCGATGGCCGACATTGTCAGAGCGACGAAGCGCTGGAGCTGCACTTACCAATGTCCGTGTAAGTTTACGAAGTCAAGTTGATGACGTGCTGATTCCAATTTGGTCGATCATCGTTCAGACTTTTGGCCAGCTGTTCTATCTTTTGCATAGCATGGGGCATGGAGGAAAATTACCATGCAGCCATGAGAGCATCAACCCGCAATTTTATCCAAATCGCTTATCGCTAGCATTCTAGAGCGGCTGTGTTGACTGCCATGCTGGAGAAATTCGAATTGGATTCTTGACTGGTGAATAAAGTGCACAAAATATTACCGTTACCACAACCATGTTGTATTATGCGACCTAAAGTGTACTATGCGACCTACAGTGGCGCAGAAATCTTGAAGCCCGAACGAAATCATTTACACATTTCTTCGCTTTCATCCTTGCCTTCAAATTCATGGTTGGTTATTATGTGAAAACCAGGATTTAGGTATATATCGATCAGGTGATGACGAAATTTTTCGGTGAGCGGCGGGATTTCAACCCGTGTTTTTGTACACCCACCCGTGCTTTTTGCAATCGAAAGCAGACACCCTGACATATCTCTTCGTCGACGCCATTGTGAAAAGAGGGAATCGTCCTCGACAGACGTTGGGGAGATTGTACCTTTACGAAGAAGGTGGTTTCCACTGTTGGCGAGAGATCGTTCGTCGAAATGCACCAGCAACAGCTACTCCATTTATTGTGGTTGGTCTGAAAACAAGTGCCCTCCCTCACCTCGATCGAACACGTGTTATGCTACATGTGTTTTGGCGGCCATCTGTGCATTCAGGTCAAAAGTGTACAACAATACAAATGTTGGTCGTACATCTGAGGTTGTCTCAACCCTCTCTACTCCGATCAAGACGTCTATCTATCACAATTCCAACAGTTTTCCGATCGGGTCATGCCATAGAAAACGAACTCATCCCCGTCTCTCTCTCCCTCTCTCTCTCTCTCTCTCTCTCTCTCTCTCTCTCTCTCTCTCTCTCTCTCTCCTCTTTTCTCCCCTGTATGCGGTCGAATGCTACATAAAACAGCGGTTTTAACACAGCATATGATACTAACTTTTGTCAGAGTTGTCTCGTTGCTCTTGGTAAATTGATGTAAAGAAGCTCAGAAAATATAGGGATAAAACCGAAGAGAGAACCTGTTACGCAGCCAGTACAGTAGTAGTACCCATTCAAGGTAAGACGACAATGATCAATACTCCGTTCGAAACGGATGCAGTGTGTGCGGTCTACAGCAGCAGTATAATATTATAGACTCCGTATTTCGTCGCCACCAGATACATATAACGAAGAGGCAGGGATAAAGGTAGCAATCGATTTCATAGTGTTGCGGACACTATCTCACCTACCTCTAGATTGATTCTACGATTCCCCGAGAAACATACAGCGATATCCCCCCTGTGGTTGACAAAGAGAGTTTGGCGCCATTCTTAAAGGAATAATAAATACACACTCAGAAAGACTACCCATCTACCCATTCTAGGTATTTTTTCGGTTTCGTCGTTTCTTCAAATTAAAATGAAACCGTCAAATATCCGAACCGGTGGCAAACGTACCGACTTCCGGTGCGCAAACCGCAAGTACAACCCTTCACACAAGAAGCCGTTCTCCGCATGCGGACACGTCTCTTCGCCTAGGATCTTCTGCATGCAGACTGGATCCGATCTTTTGTTTTCGTTTCCTTTCATACTCGGCGGAGACTGCGATTAAATATTCGTTTGATATCACACGCGGCCGTGGATACCGAGAGGAACTCAACCAGAGCCGGGAGGAGGGACATATCACACTCCCATCATACGCACCCAGCCAAAGCGACAGCCATCTTCACCGCTACGGGTCTTCGGCAGGATCGACGTCAAGTTTGGTGTAATTGGGCAAAGACCATAACGCCTACATTATCCATCCGCGACCGACGCAGTTATCCTGTCGTGTTGAATACATCATTGACCGGCGGACCTTGCTGGGTGCCAAATGGCGCGTACAAGGGGCGGTGGCGTAGTGAGCGGCTCGTCTGCCCGGCCACGTCGGAGTTTTGGGAAAGCAAGGTGAGTGAGGCGGATTGGTTGTGCAATGGATGAAGATGGAGAAGCAGAGGCTCGACACATGAATATCCATGCTCACCCATGGTGTGGTACTACAGAGTACTGCTGACAGTAGTACAACAGTACAGCAGCAGTACAGACAGCCCACGGCGGCTGCAGACCAGCATGGTAGAGGCGCCCGAGAGAGGCAGCAGTATTCAGATGCGAATGTATGAAACACGACCCTGCATGCAGAGCGTGACGACAGGACCGCCGATTTTCGTATTGCATGGCCCCCACCATTTCAATTCCATGACGTTGCTGTTGCTCTAGAGTTCATCAAAGGTTTATCATCTATCTCCCGTCGATGGTTACATGTAGGGTGATGCGTCCCTATGTACGTACTGTTGGAGTATCGTTCTACTTCCCATGTCCTCATGACATCAGCGTCCCGTCATCCCGTCGGCCTACCATTTGTCCTGGTGCATCATGATAGTTTGGCAGGAAAAAGAGGGAGCGGTGTGGTCGCGCTTCCTGGGCAACCTCCCGGTGGAACGGCAGGAACAGAGACCGTGGCCGCCGCTCCACCGCCGTTTCCTGGCTCTGGCAGCACCTTCGCGAGACTGGCAAGGGAACCCCTAACGCTGTCGCCAAGGCCTCTTGGTGCAGGAAACTACGTGAATTTTCGATCGCAGAATAATGGAAGCTTGGCGATGGGGGGCAGGGCGATGGGAAATGACTCAATGTCAACGGGCACAGGAGCAGCAGCTGGAGACCAAGACGGCGGTGGGGGTGGAGGTGGAGATGACGTTGGGGATGCTGATTTCCTTCAAGGGATATTTGATGAGGCCATCGGTCTGGACGATGTTATCGCTGACTCCATCAGCTGTTATCCCTCGGTCGATGACTACGAGGACAGCAGGTGCGTGCGTGTTTATACCTGACGAAGAGAAGCCGTACCCGTCATAAGCCAGCTTGCAACAGAGCACGATCCGCCGATGATGGTCTGTGTACTATTGAACGTGCAAGTAACTGCAGGGGAGCCGCGGGCGGAGGTAGTGCATGTAGCCACGATTGACTACAAAGACCGCGTGCGTTGGTTTGAAACACACCACTTTTCGTGTGTCCTGAAATCTTGAGCAGCTTCTCTGTTTGGACTTCTCCTGGTGTTTCTGTATTCCAGGGGAGGTGCGGACTGCAACACAAATCAGGATGACTCCCAGCGGTGCGCTGCTGTGCGAAGGTCAACGCTTTCTCCCCCAAAGGTCCCCGTGTGGCGCATGCTGTACATCGATCCCGATGCGGCCGACCCGAAACATGTCGCAGAACTGTTGGAGAGTGCCGCTTCGCAGGCGCTCGGATGGGCTTGCGTGTTCGACGTGGCGACAGACATCGTGGAGGCGCTGGCAGATCTTCGCGGAGACACCATGTCGGTATACCGGGGGGTCTTCATCAACGAGTCGCTGTTCCGCCACAAGAAGCTGAACCAAGGGAAAGCACCGGACAAATCGATCTTGGGCAAGCACCTGTCCAAGTTTCTTCGGGAAGCCGGCATGTCGAGCGCCCGCATCATCCTGCTCGTGGCTGGCGACGTCGACTTCGACACAGCCGACGCCGGATTGCACGGCCTGAGCGCGGTCTTGCGAAAACCCTTCACAAAGACGGGCTTGATGGATATCTTGCGCGGCCTGTATCTCAGCAACGAGCCGAGGTCTGGAGCTGCTGCGGCCCCGTTGTCAAACCCGGAACCCCTCGGCGTTCCGTTTCCTGGGCAGTACAGATCAAGGCCACCAGAGGGAGTTCCATTGGCGGCGGCCGCGGCCGTGGCGGCGGCGGCAGCAGCAGCAGCTGGAACCACTCCATCTACCATCCACATGGGCGCGCCCGGTCTAGCATCGTCTCAATACCCGGCATGCTTGGGATTCACGCCGTTCACTCACCCAATGTTCAATCCGTATAACTTGCCTCTAGCCTTGCTTCGATCGGGGAAGCCAAAAGCGTGGCCCCGGAGAAGGTACACTAACATCGCCCCGAGGGAGAAAGATGAGGACCTTGGTGATCAGTCTGCCCCGGTGCTGGATGGCGCAAGTCCGGATGTCACGGCAGCAGCCGATGAGTGTGGTGCTGCTGCAGCCGTCGCGGAACAGACAGCTGGGCAGGCGATCTAGCCACATAAGGTCAAGGGCTGGCAGGAGGCGTTGCCCCAGCAAGTGGTGTGGCTGTGCAATAGCTCAAGGTTTTCTGGTCAGTTCGGCATCATTGATAGATAGAGAGCTTCCAGGTGAACACCGCGCGCGAGGTTGGGCTTGACGGGCGCGGTTTGTCCAGTGCCTCGAGATAAGACTCTTGTATCGTCGCCAGGCAGCTGCTTAGCGCGGTCGACGTGACGTACATTGAGAAAGACCGACTGCGCGTTGGTACAGCAGTGGTTGTAGCATTGTTCAAGGCGTGGGAGCTAGACTATGCATGTGCGCGCGGGGGGGAATGGGGGACCTCAGCCCTACTTCACATGCGTTGCGATCGATGCGCTATTGTTGTACGCTGTTCGATGGTTAGACCCCCATTCAACAGGTTGGGCTTGGAATCTCCCGGCCGTTCCCGGTCTTGCGGTAGGGTAGCCCCAATGGACCGAGTGCCAAGGCTGGGGGTAGAGTATGCCTACCAGCAGAGGGTCAATTCAGACATTTTTTCGCTTCTCTAACATGTAGAACGCGTGGTGTTCATTCTCAGCGCTGGAAGCGGCATGACCGATTTGCTATCACACAGCCGTCTAAGGACAAAAACGAACACGTACACGAGGTGACAATACCCGCACTTAATATCCACATGAGGGGGGTCGGTCCATATACGTGTCGAGGACTGTGCCATTGAGGTCCTGCCACTGCTTCCAGTCGACCTGAACGTCTCGCACTTACGGCACACTTTCACACCTTGGCCAACAACTGATAACAACTACGCGCGAAATGCCACCAAGTTTTGAACCTATGCATATGTACACAATCTGTTCTGCACTACAACCCCGGCAGAGCACCCATGAACCCGTTCCAAGTGTAATACGCTCCAGTACGAGGGAAAAATTCAACGCGGCGTTGGCAACCGGGCAACTGCGGTTTGATCAACGTCGGTTGTCTCATTATTAAAAAAAACTAATAAAGTTCTAACACTCAACGAACGGTTAAGGTTCGCAAGCGTAACAACAGCAACACCCACGGTTACAGCGGAAATAGACAAACGCCATGGATGTTTGATGTGGTTCGCCTAACCTTGATGGTAACTCAGGGCTTCAAGACCTACAACCGCAACAGCCCATCAAAAAGGTGACAGCCACTGTAACTCCGAAGTCTCGAACGGACGAGCACGACAAGTGACCGTGAAACGCGAGCGGCGATCAAAGGTCAAGGAAGCCACTTGCTGGAGTTACGGCAGGGTCGCTTTGCCCCGCTGCAGCCGCCTCACTGTTGGCGCCATGTACGCTGTCCGAGCCGAGCGAGGATTGATTCCACGCAACGGGATCCGGAACCGGCGCTGTCGCTGCAGCCGTAGCCGTAGCCGTGGCCGGGCTGCTGCTGCTGCTGCTGCTGTGACCTCCGCTGTCGCTACCATTGCTTAAATGGGGTGTACGACTGCACATGTCGGGCGGCGATATCCCCTGCCCCTGGTGAAGGTACCACGCTCCCTTCGGGCGCAAGTTGTCGATGCCGATCGGCGGTGAGTCTCCCTGGCCGCAGAAGAAGTCCGGGTGCTCGATCGACAGCCTCTGCTCGTGGACCCACCTCTCGTCCTCCCCGTTGCTACCTGGCTCCGTCTTCACGGCGCTCCTCTGGCCTTGCCGGTCATGATCGAACGCGATTTGGAAGATCCCGCTGCGGTTCATCTGCCCGACGGAGGCAGTTGATTGGGGGGATAGACAAAGATCCTAATGTGTTAGAATTCAAACATCATGCCGGGCAACAATAATGGCGATTGTGTGTTGCTGATAGCAGTGACGTACCGTTGGTTTAAAAGTTCGTAGTCGTCGCTCATGGTAGGATAGAAACGTACACTTGTCGACAAACCAAGCCAACTGCTGCTTGATAGCTCTCGGTGTGCTGCTTGTGGCCAACGGCTCTGCCGTCTTTCTGAGGAGACGAGACCGTAACCGCAGTTGGAGTGGGAGGGAGGAAACACGTTTCATGCATCTTGTGCGTACGGTAGCTGGTTGCGGATCGTGATGAATGCGAAACACGAAATAGAAAGGAAATGATTGGGTGGAAGCAGAGAGAGACAAGCATCGCACTGCGAGTTGAGAAAGAGCCCAAGGGCCAACAGAAAAACGAATCGCGAGATTACGCACTTGCTCGTGTATCTTTATCTATATTCGCAGTTGCTGATGCTCCCTCCCATCTCAAGCGTTTCAAGAAACTCTCCTGCTCTACAGCAGTGTCTTTGGAGAACTCGTTCACGAGGAGCGGATTGCTTTTGTGGCGCATCGTGGTACCCGGTAACCAGCACACGATGCGACGTGACTCTTCCGACGCACAAACGTCCAAGTCGAGTGGTCATGTTACAGTACGAGGAACCGCCGTGGTGAACGTGACGAGTCAATGCAATATCAAAACAGACGCTCAGTCAGTCGTCAGTCGTAGGGCTTCTCTCAACTCTAAACAAACAGGAACTCGCAATATCCTGTTCCCTGTTTCGTGTCTGTGTGCCTTAAGGAATGCTGTGAGAGGAACACCGGTGGCCAGAAATTCGTGTAGTGAAAGACTGCTTGCCAAGGAGATGACGTGTTGGTGAGTGCTGAGTGTCGTACGCCCTCTCGCTTGGCGTTTCTTTCTCTCGCTTGTGCTTCGAAGAGGGAACAGAAAAGCGCCGCTCGTCCAGCACCAACGCCGTGGGGGGACATAAAACTCTTGCGATCAACCATCGACTGCTTATAACAGAGTGTTTCGAAGCTCTGAAACTTTTATATATTGTATGATACGCATAAAAAGTAGCTTAACATGTACGTTAGTCCGGGAGTGGGGGTAGATGGGTATGTAGATGGGTATATAGTCTCTCCGTAAAATTCAAACACAAATCGTTCACACTTCGTCTACAGCAGTACAGCAGTACATGACCAAAGTGGAATACTGGGGATAATGAGTCAATTCGTTTTTGGTTATGCACTTCAGCCACTTGTTGGCCACCTATCAACTACAAAGTATGTACCCACACAGGCTGGTGCGCTGGTACCACGTGTCACGAACGCATATGATACGGAGGCCGACTACGACTAAATAGCCAAGCGGACTGAGAGCAGTTCTCCCGCACCTCCACCTCTGCTCTACACCATAATATTTGCTGCTTTTACTCCCCTACGATCGACAATACATGTTATACATCATCATGAGAAAAGCACCAGGTTAGCACCAGGGTAAAGACTGGTGCCGCTTGCTCACCTCGCGCACGACCTCGCCCTTGACCCACACCTTCTCCCAGGTGCCTCTCAGCGACACGTCCCCCAAGACAGACACGAAATCTCCGACCTTGACACTCTTCCGAAGCTCACGCAAGACGACGCCGAAGCTCGTCTTCCTCTTCTTCGCCACCGGCTTCTCCGCGGTACTGGCCTGCTTCTTCCCCTGCGCAGGCCGCGGAGCGGGGTTATGCTGCCGCTTGGGTGACTTGCTCTTCGGCGGCGGGGCCTGCTTCGCGGGGGCGGTTTCTTCGTCTGCTACCTCTTTCGTCTGCTGAGTGTCTCTGCTGGCCGCTGCCGGCGTGCTGCCATTAGCTGGCTCGCTTGTGGTGGCCGGTGTTGTAATGTTGGCGGGCTTCTTCGAGCTCTTCTTGGCTGACACAGCCTTCGCCCGAGAACCGTTGACAGGAACTCGTGACATGTTGGTAGGGCCATTGCCTTGGGGACCACCAGCAGCGGCGAAGCTTGCAGTTTCGCCACCGCCACTACCACCGCTGGTAGGTGCGGTAGCCGCCTCTGTCGTTTGTTGCGCTCTCTGGCTGAAGAGGGTCGATAGCACCGTTTTGAGTTGATCACCTTGGAGACCTTCATACGCGATGTTGTTCGCCAAAGCGTGCTTTACGGCCAGAATGTCATCCTGGATCACCTCGAGCTTAGACTTCTCCATTGCATACCCCTATCTGTCTTGGACAGATACGCCCCGCATATACATCGCATCCCAGCGGCGACAAGGGCAGGGGCCCTTCTGCTGTAGATATACGTTCCGCGGTGGGGGGGGGGGGGGGGGGTCATACGTGGTTGTATGCGGTGTGTGTGCTTCAAAGGTATGTAGCTTATGATAGGTCACTTGCATACATAAGACACCACACGATTTTCAAAGCTCCATTACTCCACGACGGAGAGGATACTGAAATCAAAGGATACGCTGTCGGAAAGGTCTCGACGAGACGGTCCCAACGCCGCCCCATTTTCGGCACCGTCACTGCTTTTCCTGCCGAGTAATCGAGTTTCGAAAATCGGCGGTTGCGATATCTTATGCAACCTACGGTGTGCGTGCTATGCATGCATGCAACATGCATACCACGCACGGGCGATGATAACATGATAGACCATGATACCGCTGCCTGCCCGCTCTGCAAGTCTGTTCACTGCAAGTAAGTCTGTTCATAAAATATGCCGACCTAACAGACAGAGATACTATACAATAGCTCTTTGTTACAGTATTGTTTGGCAGGCAGGCAGGGTCGCTTTCGTTGGGTGTTTGGCTAACGGACGGATGATCCTGGCGGTTTTGCCACACCACCCAACAGAGAAAATCAATCTGTCAGGAGGTTGAGGTATCTACCGAAAAAAATTGTGGTTCACAAGTCTGTACCTGCTGAGTGGGGATCGTTCGCGAGAGACGTCCAGATACCAGATATATATTATATACTGCTGTACATTTCAATTATGCATGTAGACCTATGTGTTTTTTAGTGGAAATACGGAAGTGTACGCGGATCTGAAGCATGCCCGCACAGCATGTTTTCATTCGAAGCGCACGTTTGGTATGCTGGGCGTGCTCAAGGTAGGTGTAACACAATCATGTAAGGTTTCATAGGCGTTTTACAAAGCGTACTTCATGCACGGACGGGCATCCGCGCTCAGCAACACCGAGGAGCAATACCAATGGTACACGGCTAATCGTTGGCCTGTCGCCTGCATGATGCAGCAGTACAACACTCATTCTTCGGGGATCGTGAGTCCCGCCTGGAACACACAACGGAAGCACTATTGCAGGTGTCGCTTGGTAAGGAGGATTTCCTCTACCAAAAGTTACACCGCGTCAACCGCGACTAATAATTCATGATTAAGTTTGTCCAGCCATGATCATCTTACAACGTTCCGTGCAAGCCGTGACCCCTCCCCCGGCTACTGCTGTATCTTCAACCATGCGTTGACGATGTTGTGAGGTCGCACAAACAACCACAACCCTAACCATATCGCAACTTTCCTATCCTATCCTATTCTAGTCCTCCTTGCGGGACCACAGCGAGCCTATCTCCTTTCCCTCCACTTCCCCGACAACCGAGGTGCCAATCTTCTGGATCTCGTCCTGAATGGACCCAATCTCCCGGTTGGCATCAATCAGCTGCCACGCCACCCCAGAAGCCTGCGTCGACACCGACGGCAACAACGGACCGCCAAGAATCGGGTATTACAAGAACGAGTCTGTGCAAGCGTGGATCTATGCCCTACAAAAACACCCGTGCACAGCCGCCCGCGAGCTACTGGGAGCGCGATCATTTCGTCGGTGGGCGTCGCGCAATACAACTGGATCCCTATCCGCATTCACTCAGGGATGGGGAAAGTGCGTGAGGCGAGGCATTCACAGGGCTGACAATCCACCACAAACTCGAGATACAGAGTAGAGGAGGAGAGGAGAGAACTATCGTGTCATGAATACGGGAATCGTGTCAATGTGAAGCGCCCTTCGGTGCATGTACGTGCTGAATATGGAAGGACCGGTCGAGTCTAGAAGCCTACCTCCAATGTGACCGCATCGAGACCAGCAAAACAGAAACAAATTCATACCGAACTGACATCGCAGGACAGAGTGCAGGCCCAGTCGAGTCTGTACACCTTGGGCCCATTCATGGGGGGTCCAGGAGAACAAAACGTGGTGGAAACAAAAAACTCCACGAAACGCTCATCAGAGTAATCAAAGTTGATCCTTGGGGAACGGAAGAGATACATACACACCTTGTCTTCTTCCATAAGAGCCAAGAACGTCGCCCGGACTGTTCTTTGAAACTCCTCCTTCTCGTAACGTTCTTCCCCAAATTGTCCTCGCTGCAGTGTAGTCATATCATAAGTTTTTGACCGTCAGGCGATTGTTAAGCAGCAGAAGCAGTGAGGCAGAGTGAGCTTCGTACAGTGTCGCTGCGAGAGCTAGTTGTGGTGGAACATATATTCTACCAGCGGCCGACATACAACATGCTCGGAATCTTTGACTTTCTGAAATGGGGTTGGTTTCTGAAAGCGAATATTATGGGGGTGTTTGATTTAATTGATTGTTTTTGGGTTTGGGGAGTACATATACATATGGAGGCAGGATCAATTATTTCGGACGCAAGCGCCTTGCGGTCGACGCTCTTTGGCCATGTGCGAAAATCGCCAAAGTTGGGGGAATCGAACTCGAGGCGGGTAAGCTCACGGACAGAAGTCTGTCCCCTAGCACACACGCGGCCCACACTTCGATACAACTTATGGTGAAAAACTCCTTTCTCAACAGCAAAAAAACAACGAATGGCCTTGGTGCCAGGTGTCAGTCAGTGCAGCCCGGCTTCTGTACGAGCGAAATCGTGAACGGAGGAACAGTTCTTCTACGAATCCTCTCACACTTGCCACTGCTCTGGCAATTTTAATTATTCCATACAATCTCAAGAAATTAAGCAATTTTCGTTTTTTAGGAGACGATCTGGCAAATTTAATTAATCCATACAATCTCAAGTAATTAAGCAGTTTTCGGTTTTTAGGAGACGATTATATAGGGCTCGATATTGAGCAACATTTCCGCCGTGCGCTGATTACTTCCTGGCACCCCCCTGCAGGTATTGAGATGCCGGAGGCGAGAGTAATTCCAATACATGCTGATGCAGCAGCGTCGAGCGTTCTTGTGGCTCAGTTGGCTCGCACGACTTCCGGATAGGAAGACAATGGACGTCTGTGGCGTCCGTATACAACGACAATACCAGCACTTCATTTCGTCTCCAAGAGGCTTCATACGACGGAGGCGATTAGCACGGACCTTCATGGCATCCTCTACGGAGATGTCAAGGAAGAGTATCTTGTCCGGCGCCGGGAGTCCTCGATCGGGGTCTTTGCACCACCTCACCGATAGCCCTGCTCGTAACAGCAACAGCAGTGCGAGACACAGAGACGACGCAGCATTGACGTGACTATCCAGCTGTGTGGTTGTTCTACGTCAGGGATTCCTCTAGTCGAGGTGAGCGCTGCGGTGGAAACAAGAGTGATTCTTTGGGCGGCACCTGTTCATCATTCTCCAACCTGTCGTGTAAAGGACAACGGGACTCATGTCGGAGAGACGCGATGTTTTTGGTGTTATGATTGTTTTCTTCAAACTAGAAACCTTTCCGGTCGCTGCTCAGTACCTGCTACCACCTGCACCGGTCCAACTGACGCGGATGCCTCCGCATTCAAGTAGATTAAAGGTTACGGCAAAACGGTCATGCTAGCACGGGGAAGAGACTACCGTGAGGATGCCATGCGAAAAATATCAAGCGCTACGAAAAGTGGCATGCAAAGCCAGTCACCAACTACCGGCACCAGGGACAATCAACCCACAACAATCCAAGACGACCACCAGGCAGACCACTACTGCAGCACTCACCGGGTTTGGAAGCTGAAAAGGCGACTCCGCTGTAGGCGTACCGGTCGCACACGACGGTAGTACCCGCCTTGAGCAGCTCTCGGATTTTCGATCTGTCCACAACGCAAAGCACGACCCACGCGTCAGCCATGATGGTGCATGCTGACTACTGCTGTTGCACCCGCACAGTTGAACGCCTGCATCACGTCCTTTCCTTTGTACTTGAAAGGAAGTCCTTGTACTGGCGAGGCCGGTTTGCGTCGTGTGGCGAGCGAACGGTCTACTCTAGTTCACTGACGTGATGCTCTAGTATCACTGGAGTGTTGAAAAATACACGATCCCCACGGTACCAGACAAGATATAGTGAAGCGCAAACACAATGACGACAGTAGTCGTTTGCCAGCTCGCACCCAGAACATGGTTTGTGCCGTGTGATATCTTCACTAGCTGTAGCCGGACCCAATCCTACACCCAAATGTGGTGGCGAGAACTCACTCCGCCTCCCATCGATTCGCAGAGAACAGGAGGTGCACACAGCGATCGTCGATGTCCGTAGTGTTTCGCAGGAAGCCGTTGATCATGTGTCCAATCGGCGTTGTTCGATCTGTATGGAAGACGAGAGTCACCAGCACCGTGCGGAACAGCAATCAGTTGATTACACCCGCTATACGTATCTGGCGTTGTTCTGACAGCCCGCGGAGCGTGGATGATCATGATTCCCACCGATTCTGCTGCACAGCTGCACTCCTGCGACTGCTGCTCCCATGGTAGCGATATGGTAGTCCCCAAACACAAGACAAAGTTCTTCGCCTCACTGGTCACTGGTGTAGCCACGACCCCGTGGTGCATGTCAAAGAAACAGATAAAATCTACCGCACCAGTAGACTACTTGCTGTACAGCAGTTCACGCACGGCGGCAGACAACGAGTCCATCCATGTACAGCAGTACCAATGGCATGGTGTCGTCAAGAAACAGGACCGCTCGGCGGTTCAAAAATTTGAAAAGTCCGAACTTCGAACTACTGCTGTAAGCTGAGATTGCCGCAATGCTACCTCATTATTCCACTGCCTGTTTCAAAAAGCTCTCTCTCACGAGCAGGTGTTCGGTTGCATGCCACACACACGAGCCTCACGAGCAATTCCACAGAGGGCTTGAAGCAAACGTGCAACGTCAATGTTCTCACCGGGAAAGCGCATGAAGCAGGCGTCGTGACCAGCCTGCTTGAGACTCTCCACCAACAAATTCGCCTGCGTCGTTTTCCCGCACCTATCCACGCCCTCGAATAGAATGAACGCTCCCCTTTTTGCGGGCCCAGCAGTCGCGTCTTTGGTGCTCGCCATGACAGCAGCAGACCCGGTTCTGGTTGCCGCGGGCAAGGATCCGTTGCTTCGTGGAACGAAGGCGGTCCTCGGTAACGACGGTGACCGTGACAATCGTGCCGCGGACGCGAAGCAGACTCGACAGCCGAGCAGCAACGCCGTGATTGAGATGATGGCTCGAAGAATATTGACTTCGGTATCAACGTATCCCAACCTGGTGTGTGTGTGCGGGATAGCGACGCCCTCACTACACTGCTGCTGCCGGACGTGCAGCGACCCAAGGGCGGGGGATACGCGAATGAACTTCCTTTTCCCGCCGCTTCAGGGAGCTCCGCAGATTCATTTTTGAAATTCTCATGGTTGATTTGAAGCAGGAAGTGTGTCCCCTCTATGCCGTTGCCTGTGCGCTCTGTCGTCTACGTGTGCCTATTCGTCTGCGTGTGCCTGTGTGGGTGCGTGGGCGAGACATGGCAGAAGAGCTGGATAGGGAGAGGCCGCTCTTCAACGATGAGGTGGCGGTGCAGGTCAAGCTTCCTGAAAACGTATGCAAGACCTTGGCTCTCACGGTGCGGGTGCTGCAGGGGTCACGTCTGGCGCCGGTGGGCAGTGGGGGCGGCCAGAGGGAGGGAGTCCTGCACATCGAGGTCACAGATGAGCTCGACCCTTTCTTCCTCTACACACTGCAGGTGCGTGCCTACGTTGCAATTCTTGCGGGGCAGATTTGACCGCACCTACATAAATTCGTGCGTTACCTTTTTCTTTTTTTTCTGTTCAACATTGCACGCGTCTGCAAGTCTCTTGCAATGCCCAATGCGCTCGTCACGCAGCCAACTGCTGGTGCCAACTGCCAGTTGTTGGCGACTTGTGTTTGTGAGTCGATCGTGCCGATAACAACTAGAGCATGCGTGTTGCTCCCCCTTGCTCTAGTGCCCGCTGACGCTGCCGAGCATCCCAACGAACTCGCTTCGTTGACTCGTTTAGAAGTTAGATGACCCGGTCTTGCAGCAGTACAGCGGTCAGCAGCGTTGTAGTTCAACCGCACCGAACGTCATTCATATCAACCTGCAGGTTGGCGAAGATGACTACCATCAGCTGAAGCACGACCAGTGCCTCCGGGTAGACTTCAAGTCTTTCCCGAGGAAGTTCATCGAGCTCCTCGAGAGCTGCCGCGCCAGCAGCGGAGCTGCTGCTGTCGATCCCGAGTCCCGGAACGGCTACACTCCAGGCGAGGAAGGAGGAGGAGGCAGGCCGTCGAGAGGGGAACCGCTGCTGCCGTCGTCAGCAGAGCCCTCTTTCTTGGCGAGGTTGGAGACCGTTGTCCCCGGAGGCTTCTCCCTGTTCTCGGTTGTGGAGACCAATCCGTTCAAGGAGCTCACCCACCTGAGCCTCAAGTTCCGGGTGGGGAACGATGCGTCAATCAAGACGTACCTTGCGGCGCGACTCCGACAGGTATGGTGATGTAGGGAAGTAGGGTACCGTGGGCATGCTTATTGGTTTTCTAGTGTGGTACGTTGGGCGTTGGGCGTCTCAGTGTGTTTGATGTAGAAAACGTTGGAGTTGTGCTGGGTGCGGTCTACAGTATTCCAAACCTGGCTTCGCTCGTGCTTTCGACTGGTCTATACCATCTGTTCTCGTAAGGAAGGGAGCTACTACAGCAGTGGTTCCATATGGACCCCGCCCATGCTTCCCACACGTGAAAATAGAGGCAGCCACCCACGTGCAACACAGCAGTTACCGCGCCGGTTCCAAAAACAACGGCAGCACCTGTAGAAGTTGCACAACTGCCTGTCTTATAAGTCAAGGAGAATTTCAGTAGGTTCATGCGCCGCTGATCAGGCCCTCTCGAGGCCTTGCAGGATATGGACGTCACGCTCAGCGCTGTTGCACAGCTCACCTTCCTTTCGGCCGCTCCGCGCATGCGTTCACGGTTGTGTTTTTCTTCTTGGTACCTTTGGTATGCATACGTGCAGCTCAAGGCCGAGGTGTCGGTGACGTCATCCACCCTGGAGGACACAAGAACAGCCCTGACTCGAGAGGGTGACACGCGCGCACGGCTGGACTCGGAAGTGTCGGCGTTACGCTTGGATCGCGAACGGGATCTGCGGGACTTGCGGGCGGCACACAGCGCGGAGTTAACCGCGGCTCGGGAGGAGGGGGTGCGCAGGGCGGAGGAGGCGGCAGCAGCAAGATCTGTGGAGGTAAAAATGTGTGTACGGTGTAGTCTCGCTTCGGCGAACTCGTGTGTTCACTGCTGAGGCTGGGAGCACGGTTCACAATGACGTGCACAATCAAGGTTGGGCTTGATAGATTTGTTTGTTGCCCTCTTGCGTCTTACGTTCACTCTTCCGCCGTCTGTTCAAACATGAGTCGCGGCAGCAGAGTCCTCGACCTGAACCTCCGCCCCTCCCCTCTCCCAACCGGCCTACTCTACCCTTCCCCTTTGCCAAAGATGGGCGCGTTGCGACGGAAGGCCGAGGAAGACGTCGCCCAAGTCTCGCAGCGCCTGCGGCAGTCCGAGCAGCGGAGAGAGGAGCTGACCGATCTTAAGTTCGCGCACGAGGCGGAGCTGCGAGAGCTAAGGGGGAGGAGCGAGGCGGGCGAGGCCGGACGGGAAGCTGCCACTAGCGACGCCAAGGCTCTGAGGGAAGCGAACAGAGCGCTAGAGGCCAGGGCTTTCGAGGCCGAGAGGGAAGCCGACCGCCTCCGTCTGCATGGCGCCGCGCTCGCTCAGCAGGTATGCGGGAGGTTTGCGCGGGTCGACATGGGGCGGATGTCTTCCGAGAACACATGTAGTTGTGGTCGTCTGGTCGACGTAGGTACGCTGTTCACGCATAGCGGCCGAAAATTCGCATTTTCAGTCCTTACACGCGTCTCTGCAAACACTGCGTATCCGGCTCGATGCTGTGTGCCTCCCTTGTGGCCGTTCTTTGGCCATTCGTTGGCGGCGCGGCACTGGTCATTGGTACGGAAGACGGCTGTGGGCTAGGGTTACAAATAGCCAGGTGGTGCTCTCTCAGCCCTCTTGAATTCTTGGAGTCCCTCCACACACGCCGTTGCTGTATCTCATCATACCACACCCACTCTCTCACAATTCGTACTTGCAGCTACCCTTAGAACGCTTTTTGTGCGATTCGCCGCCGTGACTAGTGCTGTGCCGTTAAGGTGAGGCAGTGGCCCTTGTATCGATCTACCGCGAGATAGCGCGGCAGCTCTCGAAGCTTACTCATAACTGCTCCATTACTTGCTCTAAATAGCTGAGCTGACACCATTAAACTTTACCTATATTTTCGACTCGAGACGCACAGCAGTGGAGACCCCCACCTCAAAAATGACGCACCCCACTGTTGTTGGTGTGTGCATTGGACTTAACGCTCGAAATCACCCACCCGCCACTTGATCCACCTCCACCACTTGAAGGTCACAGACGCCAAGGAAATGGCGGATAAGAGCCAGGCCCTGCAGGCGGCGTCAGCGGCGTCTGTGGCGCGGCTAGAAGAGACGCAAGAGGCCTACAAGGGCAGCGTGGTGGCCCTGCAGGAGAGGCTAGAGGCGAGCGTTCATGAGATCAACCGCGGCAACGCCATCATCCAAAAGCTGCAGGGGCAGTACCGGGCCCTCCGCTCGAAAGCTAAGCTCAAGAGCGAAGTCATCAAACAGCAGGTGTGTTGGCGGATTGATTGTTCGATATTTGCTCGCTCTTCCGCTCCTTGCTCTGCTGTGCGAAACGACTTTTCTATTTTTTTACTCTCTTGCCTGCGGGCGTCCAAGATCCTGAAGGCGTGAACCAGTTTGTGGCTTGCCTTCTACCGCGTCCACGCTTTTCGAAACCAATTGCACGTGGTGCACAGCAAACCTTCGCAGTATTTGACCCTCTCTGACTCGCCCTTTTCTAATGTTCTCCAATGGACCCGTGATACGATGTGGCCGCAGGAGCGACTGCTGTCGGAGCACGAAGCGTCCATAAGCGCGGGAGAGAGCAAGCTCAAGGCAGCGGCCGCAGAGCTAAGAGCAGCGGAGGCGAGCAGGGAGAGCCTGCAGCGGGAGCTGGCCGCGTCGGAAGGCCGCCTCGAAGAGAGCGCCCGTCTGCTCGCCTCGAACCAGCAGGTCATCAAGTGGCTCAACAAAGAGCTCAACGACGCGCAGATGGTCCCCGGTGGGATTAGCACGGCAGCAGCGGCAGCGGTGGCCGAGGCAGGGGCGGCGTACGGTGTCCGAGCAGCAGCGTCGTCGCCGCTGCCGCCCTTGGGGGAGTATAACTTTAGAGGCGTTGACGCTAGTCCGCGGGCGGGGGGTGTTGGAGGAAACGGGCGGGGTGGTGGGGTGAAAGACATGATGTTCACGACGGGGATCAGGGAGAGCTTGACCGGAGGAGGAGGAGTGAGCTGGAACCTTCGTGGGACTACGCTCGACGACGGTGGCGGCGGCGGCGGCGGCGGCGGCGGCGGTGTTGGCGATGGTAACCAAACCGGTCGCTACTCTTCTTATGGGGGCGAGGAAGAAGGGAAAGGTACGGCTACGCCCAACCGCGGCGTAGAAAGCACGCCTGATCACGGTGGCCGCGGCGTTGGCAGGGGGGGTTACACTCGAATCGTCACGCCGGAGTCCGGGGGTGTGTCCGATCCGATGCAAGCTTCTTCCAGGTTTTTGGCGGGGGCGGAGGCGGCGACGCCAGGCAACACGATCAAGGAAGGCTGGTACGAGGAGGGAAGCGAGAGGGACAACGAGCTAGCGGGGGGCGCGGTGGGAGGGGACGCGATACGTGGTATTCGAGCGTACTAGCCTCGTTGAAAGTCGATCGGTTTAATGTTGATATGCACGTTCTGGGTGTAAGATTTCGGAGTGCTGTACTTGTAAAGTGTCAGAGGAACATTGGGGATTTTTTTTATACAGTTATCTATAAGCAGTCGTCCAATGACGAGTTTGTACGAGTTGGTGCTGACTGCTGTTGTATCGTCGGGGCAGCGTTCTGAAACAACGGCTTAGCTTCCCTGGGTGGTGTTGGCTGCGTGACGCTGTGGGCCGTTGCGGAAGTTGCATACCCGCCTGCCTGTGTCTTGTTTGCATTTTCGCCGGGGTTCTCGTGCCCATTTGTTGGCGGAACCTGGTGTTTGGGAGTGTTTTTTAAACAGAATCAGCCGTCAGCGTTCGGCTAGGTTGCTACGTTTCGATTTATTTTACGTTCTCGGTGTCTTGGTGTTGTGCAGGCCATCTACAATATCTTCCATCTGTTAATGAATTGTTCGTGTGTCGTTCTTCTATCTATGCGTGGTGAGGATGACAAACAACGTGCTGTTTTAATCCACCTCGGAGCTCTCACTCGGACATGGCGCTACTGCAGTAGGTGCACGCTATGAACGACATCACAAGCTAAATAACCGCACACGAGTTTTGAGTCATGAGTGTAGAGACAGTATGATTCTGTTGGGGTGCGGAGTTGGCTCAGTCATGTCTTTCTCTACGGGGGGGGGGGGGGGGGGGGGGAATTTTAAACGGAGGAGAGGATTAA